TTAAAGATTTTATTTATTTATTTGAGAGAGAGAATGAGAGACAGAGAGCACGAGAGGGAAGAGGGTCAGAGGGAGAAGCAGACCCCCCGCCGAGCAGGGAGCCTGATGCGGGACTCGATCCCAGGACTCCAGGATCATGACCTGAGCCGAAGGCAGTCGCTTAACCAACTGAGCCACCCAGGTGCCCTAAAATGTTTCATTTTCAACTTAAACTTACTAGACATGCAAAGAAATGGGAACATACAACCCATATTCAGAAAAAAAAAAAAAAGAAGTCAATAGACAATGAGTAAATGAATCCAGGTGTTGGATTAACAAAGTTTTCAAAACAGCCATTTTAAATATGTTCACATAATGAAAATGCAACAATGTGTCATTTAATAAAGAATATCAATAAAGAGATAAAATTTATTTAAAAATGGAAATCTGGAATTGAAATGTACAACAATTGAAATGAAAAGTTGACTGGAGAGGCTCAACAGCGTTTTTGAGCTTGTGAAAGAAAATATCAGTGAACTTGAATATAGATCAATAGAGATTAATTAATCTGAAAAACTAAAGGAAAAAAGGAATAAAGAAAAATGAACAGAGCCTCAGACACCTATGGGATACCATCAAGAGTACTAACATATGCATAAAAGAAGTCCCAGGAAGAGAAGAGAAAGATATAAAGGGGCAGAAACATATTTGAAAATATAATGTCTGAAAACCTCCCAAAGTTAATAAAAAACATTAACTTATAAGAAGCTCAACAAATCCCAAGTAGAATAAGCACAAGAGATCCTCACCTAGAGACATCATCATCATCATCAAATTGCAACAAAAGACAAAAGGAAAATCTTGGAAGTAGCAAGAAAATGTCTCATCATGTACAGGGGAACAATAATGCAATTAACAGCAGCATTTTCATCAGAAAAAACAAAATCCAAAGGGCAGTGGAGTGACATTTCAAAATGCAGAAAAGGGGGCACCTGCGTGGCTCAGTCAGTTGAGCATCTGACTCTTGATCTCAGCTCAGGTCTTGATCTCAGGGTTGTGAGTTCAATTCCTTCACTGGGCTCCACACTGGGCATGGAGCCTACTTAAAAAAAAAAAAAAAGTGCGGAAAAAAATCTGTCAATCAAGAATTCAATATGTAGTAAAACTATTCTTCAAGTGAAGCTGAAATACATTCCCAGACAAACAAAAATAGAAAAAATCACCCCCACTAATGAAATACTAAAGAAAATGCTTTAAGTTGAAAGGAAATGACACAAGATGGTGATTTGGATCAGTAAGAAGCAATAAAGGGCACTGGAAATGGTAAATAAATATCTAAGTATAGAAGATTGTGTGTATGTATACATATATATGTATGTATATGTATA